CTACCCCAAAATGATTTCTCTTCCTTCAAATCCCCAAATGATTCCTCCCCCTTCCAATCCCAAAATGATTCCTCCCCTTTCCAATCTCCAAATTATTTTTCCTCCTTCCTATCCCAAAATTATTTTTTCCCCTCTTCCTATCCCCAAATGATTCCTTCCCCTCTTCCTATCCCAAAACAATTCTTCCCCCTTCCTATCCCAAAACAATTTCTCCCTTTTCCTATCCCAAAACAATTTCTCCCCTTTCCTACTCCAAAATTTCTCCCCCTTTCTATCACCAAACAATTCCTCCCCCTTCCTACCCCAAAATGATTCCACCCCCTCCCAATCCCCAAATAATTCCTCCCCCTTCCAATCCCCAAATAATTTCTCCCTTTCCTATCCCAAAACGCTGCCTCATTTATTTTTGGTCCCTCCTCCCTGCCCGCTTCCAATGCCCCAAATGTCCTTCCCGTAATGGAGTGACCACAATCGCACAGCCTATTCCAACTGTGGTCTCCCGGGTGCCGGAATGAGCCGGGCTGATTTATATTCCGTGCCCCTGGATAAACACCTCGAGCCCGTGTTTGCGTTTGTGCAGCTGCCAAGGAGCCTTGCAGATGGTTTGAATGTGTTCTCCACATGCAAAGTGTCCCGTTCCGGCTGGAACGGGATTGAGGATGGGGGAAAGGGGGATGGGATTGGAGCAGGAAGGAGGGAATAACTCACCCTGAGCAGGGATGGCCCAAACCTGCTCCTGCTTTTCTACCGGAGCAGCCTCTGGGATTTTGGGATTCTGACTTGGCTCAGGTGAGGGAGAGAAATCAAGGAGCAAAATGAGGGGTGCGTTTGGGACAGCCCCTTCCCAAAGAAATCTGGGATTGGCCTTCCTGCCTTCCAAAGGGAAATCCTGCAGCAATGACATCCAAGAGAGTTTTTCCTTGTTCCCATCTTGGAATGACTTCAGCTTCCACCGAGATTCCAAGTTTCAGTGGGAAAGGATTGATCCAAGAGATGTCCTGGTGGATAAGGAGCCAGTGGGATCCTGGAGGGATCCCATGTTTCCCGTCAGGACTCATTTCTTCAGGAATGTCATCCAAGAGAGTTTTTGCTTGTTCCCATCTTGGAATGACTGCAACTTCCATGTGCTTGCGGGGGGAAGGACAGATCCAGGAGATGTCCTGGTGGAGCCAGTGGGATCCTGGAGGGATCCCATGTTTCCCTTCAGGACTCATTTCTCTGGCACTGAAGTGGTCAGTGATGTCCTCAAATCACGAGGAATTCCAGTGCCGTTCCCATGCTCCGTGTCCCCATCCATGAGACACCCAGCTCTGGATTCGGAGGAGCTTCACCCACAGGCAAATCCCTGAGGGATGAGCAGGATCGTCCCTCCAGCATTGCCTGGATGATGGAAACACACCCAAAACACTTTGGGATGTGGGATATGGGTGAGATTTCCTTGTTTTCTTAACAGTTCATGAATTCTTTCGGACTTCCATCATCCGTGAATCCTACTATTTCTTCCAAGGACAGAAATGTTTGATTTTTGCAGTTCCATGATCGATCCAAGCAGCACGGTGGAACCCTCAAACTCATTTTCACCAGAATTCCCAACGTTTTTCAACAAGCTTTTACAACTGGATCCTTTGGAGCTCTCCGTGATTTGGAATCTCGTTACCAGTGTCTCAGGAGGGGCTGAATTATTGCTAACAGGCCAAACGTCCCCAATTTTCTGTTTTCTTCTTGGAATTCAGCCTGGATCTCCTCGGAGAAATGACCGGGAGAAAAGGAAAACAAAGGGAGAAGCCAAGTTGTTGATACTGTGAATGTTTTTGTAAATTCAGGGAAAAAAAAAAAAAAAAAAAAAGATGTTTGGAGGAGCTCTTTGGGCAAACAAACAGAAAGGAATGGCTTGTTTGGATTCCAGCACAGTGGGAAATATGGGATTTTTCCTTCCTGCCTTATCAGGGATTCATGGAATGATTTGGGCTTGGGAGGGGCCTTAAAGATTATCCTCTTCCACCCCTGCCATGGGCAAGGACAGCTCCCCCTATCCCGGGTTGCTCCAGGCCCTGTCCAACCTGGCCTTGGACACTTCCAGGGATCCAGGGGCATCCACAAATTCTTTGGAAAAGCTGTTCCAGTGTTCCACCACCCTCATTATAAAAAATTTCTCGCTTGTAATCAGTGGGGATGAACCCTCCTGTGGTTTAAACCCATCCCCGCCGTGCTCCCAGCTCTCCTTAGCTGGGAGGATTGGAGGGATTTGGGATAGCAGAGGAGGGTGGTGAGGCTCCTCTCCAGGACACAGAGAGGACAAACCCCAGGAATGTGGATCCAACAATCCCAAAGTGCGGCTGCTCCTGGTATCAGTCCATATTCCCGTTTGAAAAAGGTTTTCCAAGAGTTTCGGTCAACGTAGGAGCTCCTCAAATCATTCCAGGAGCTCCACAGGCACCTGGCTTGACCTGTGGGTGTTCCTCACTAGGTTCCCCTACCTGCAATCCCTGTTCCCAACCCAAATCCTGTCTCCTTCCCCCGTGGCTCCGGGGATTTTCAGGAAACAGCTGCGTTATCCTGAGTTTTAGGGAGGGATGTCCCAAATATCCACCTGCCCTTCTCTCAATTCATCATCCATCACTGGGGAATTCCAGGAAGGAAACGACCCCTGAGACGTTTTATCCCTCCTCCAAATTTTCCTGGAATGCCTTTTCCAAGCAAGGAATGGGGAGAGGGAGGCCAGAGATGATGGAGGGGAGGGGGAAGAGATTTCTCTGGGGTGGTTCAGCTCTCGGTAACAGCGACGGATCCTTTTGTTGGGAATCTCCGACACTTCCCGGCAATTTATCTGGAATTTTGAGTCCCACTGGATTCTTACCAGCTTTAATGACTCAGTTCTGGGATTAAATCATTTAAGGAATCATTTCCATGCAGAGGGAAAATTTTAAATGCAAAAAAATCATCTTTTGGAATATTCCTGGGGGAGCTCTTGGCTCCCCAAATTGTCCCATCCTAAAGCAGCATCCCAGAGGTGTCCCACCACCGCTCCCTTCAGATTTCGGGGAGGATTTTGGGGGGCTCAAAGTACCCAAAAATCAACAGCTGTGGGGTTTGTCATCAGTTTTCCACGTTTCCAGCACAAGGAGGACGCACCCACCGCAAAATTTAGCACGTTCCTCTTTTCTGGCCACAGATTTTGGTGGGGTGCGAAATGAAACCTCTGAAAAACGAAGTCGCCCTTTGCAATTCGTGAAGGTTTTGGAAAAGCGGGAGATTTTCCCCTCTCGTTTCAGAGCACTTTTGGATGAATATTTTCTCTCAGACTCGTTTCTCCGCTGTGTTTCTTTTAATGTTTACTCAAATTGATTTATTTTGTCATAAGGACTGATTTTATTTTAAGCAAGAGCACTTTGAGGGCTCCATTAAATCTTTATTTACTTTCTTGTCTGCAGAAAAGACCTCAAGGACATCAACATTTTGTCCTGAGCCAAATTCTGTGGGGCCCTGTGTTGTTTTTTTAGGTTTGGTTTTATTTTTCCTTTGTCTTTTGTACCTTCCAGAGAACTGAGAAATAAATAAACTCTTTTTTCCCAGTGTAAGTTATCCTGCAAACAACAAGCCAGAGGGAAGGATTTTCCCGGTTTTCATGAGTAGGAAATGTATTTTTCTTCTCCTAGTGGGACTTTAAGCAGAGAAAATGCAGTAAATTATTTCCCTCTTCTTTTTATCACGCGGATGTTGAGGAATTTTAGCTCCTGACCCTCACTCCCAGTTGATGCTTCAGAAGAAAGGCTGTGATTTGTCTGGTCCTTTTCATCCCCACTAAATTAGAGATAAGAAATCAGCTGCTGCATGAGGAGATCTTCTGTGTTTTTCATCTCCTAAAAACCACCAAACCCAATTAACCCGTGTCGGCTCCCACTCTAGACCGGCCAAAGGGCTTTGAAGCAATCCTGGTTTTCCTTTAATCTCGGGAAATCGCAGTGGTGAGGAAAGATGAATTCCTGGGTGCTCAGAAGCTTTGATATCCATGGAAAATGCTGAGCTCTTGGCCCTGTCTGGATTTCGTTCCTAGCGGAGTTTTTTGCGGATAAGAGCAGGTGGTTCCTGCTCCTTTTGACTCTGAGCTGACTCCTGTGTCTGACACTTGACTGAGGGCAGACACAGGTCCTGGAGCAGATTTGGTGCAGATTCGCCACTTTCAGCATTTCTCAATATCCCACTACAGCTGGAATTTAAGGGATGGGTGCAGTTATCCAGCCCGAAGCAGAGGAGATCCCTGAGGACACCAAGCTGGGGGCAAGCGATGCCTTGGGGGGTGGTGGAGCCCTTCAGAGGGACCTGGAAAGGTTCGGGAGGGGGGCAGGGAGGAAACTTCTGGAATTGAGCAAGGGCAAGAGCAGGTCCTGGGCCTGGGAGGATCATCCCATCCCATCCTTGCTGTGACACCTCCCATCATCCCAGACTGCTCCAAGCTCCATCCAGCCCAGACTTGGGCAATTCCAGAGTTCCAGGGACAGCCACAGCTGCTCTGGGAATTCCATCCCAGCCAGGAATTCTTACCCAATATCCCATCCAAGCAGTGGGAGCCATTCCCTGTGTCCTGTCCCTCCATCCCTTGTCCCAAGTCCCTCTCCAGCTCTCCTGGAGCCCCTTCAGGCCCTGCAAGGGGCTCTGAGGTGTCCCTGGAGCTTCTCCTCTCCAGGGGAACATTTCCAGCTCTCCCAGCCTGGCTCCAGAGGGGCTCCAGCCCTTGGAGAAACTTCTCTGGAGCTCTCTGGACTCTCCAGCAGTGCCACGCCTTTCTGATCCTGGGGATCCCAGAGCCGGACACAGTTTGTCCTTGCGGAATAAACCTTGGGATAATTCACACCTTCTAGAGGCAGGCACTAAGGAATTGGCAATGATTCCTAGGACGGGTTTCTCCAGGGGAACGCCAGCGGGGAGCCCTCTGGAGCAGGGGGATCGGTGTCACCCCTGCGGGTGCAGTGACTCTTCCTGGTGCCTCTTCTCTCCCACAGATGGCTTCTGCCTGCCCGAGTGGGATGGCATCGTGTGCTGGCCCGAGGGCGTGCCCGGCAAGGTGGTGGCCATGCCGTGCCCCGAGTACATCTACGACTTCAACCACAAAGGTGCGTGCGGCTCCAGGCATTCCCGACGGCCGGGAAGCTCAGAATTCCCTTCCTCATCCCTGTTTTTCTCTCATGTGGTACCTCCCTTCCAAGTGGGAGTGAAGCCGGGGAAGAGGAAGGAAAGAGGCGGCCGTTGTTTATTGATAAGCGTTGAGAAACATAAATATATATATATATAATCTAAAAATTATATGAATTTATATAAATATTTTTATTTATATATATCGAAAAGTTATGCAACTTTATATACATATTTTTATTTTTATATATCTAAAATTATATAAATTTATATAAATATATTTATTTAAATATTTATAAAATATATATTTATAAAATATAAAAAATATATATCTATAGATTTACAATATATATAAACATATTTATAAATAAATATATTAATATATGAAATATTTAAATATATACTATAAATATTAATAATTATTACTATTACTAATTATTAATATTAATTCTTAATATTGTTATATATATTATATATGAAATATCTAAATTGTTTTTATATATGTATAAATATTTATATGTATAAATATTTATAAATATTATATAACTATTATATAAATATTATATAAATATGTATTATATTTTATATATATATAAATTATTGGAAGAAAAGCTCCATTTGAACTGAAATAATGACAATTTCCCGCTCAGAATCACCAATTTCCCACCTGCCCCTCACGGACTGTGACATTCTCAACACCAATTTCCTGCTCCCAGCTCCCAGCTGTAAATCCTGGAGATTCCCAAACCCAACACCAATTTCCTGCTCCCAGCTCCCAGCTGTAAATCCTGGAGATTCCCAAACCCGGATTCATTGGAAACCCTGAACTTTGTGTAGCAAGAAAGCCCCAAAACATAATTCCAAAATATTAATTTATTCCTGATCTCGGGGCTTTGTTAATTCCACGTCCAGAGCCCGGTGGGTGTCTGGGAGCAGAATGTGGGAATTCCTCCCTGCTCGGGGGATGCACAAAGGACATTCCTGACAGCCGGGAAACTCAAAATTCCCTTCCTCATCCCAGTTTTCTCACACATTGCCTCCCTTCCGAGCGAGAGTGAAGCCAGGGAAAAGGAAGGAGAGAGGCAGCCGTGGTTTATTGATAAACGTTGATAAACATAAATTCTATAAATATATAATCCTGCCCTGGGCAGCTGGGCCAGGCCTGGAGAGCCCTTTCCAGGAAGGAATTTTCCCAATATCCAACCCAGACCCCAGCACAATCCTTCCCTTTTTTCTCAATATTCCTGCATGGCTTGGGGTTCTTATTTCACTGATATCCGCTGGATAAGTCAGGAAATGTGGGAGCCCAATGGAGACACTTGGATGATGGGATCAGAGAATCCTGGGTTGGTTTGGGATGGAAAGGATCATAAAGATCATCCCATTCCCACCCCTGCCATGGGCAGGGACACCTCCCATCATCCCAAGATGCTCCAAGCTCCATCCAGCCCGGCCTTGGACACTTCCAGGGATCCAGGGGCAGCGACAGCTGCTCTGGGAATTCCATAGCAGCCCCTCCCCACCCTCCCAGCCTGGAATTCCTTCCCAATATCCCATCCAACCAGTGGGAAGCCATTCCCTCTGTCCTGTCCCTCCATCCCTTGTCCCAGTCCCTCTCGGTCTTTCCTTAGGCTCCCTGTTCTCCTTCCATAGTTCCAGGATCTGTGGGATTAATCCCTGTTTTCTGTGAGGGGATTTTAATGCACACCTGATGCCCCAATTCCCACATGGATATTCTCCTCTGCCAGACTAATCCAAGGATGAAACCTTGCATTCCCTTCCTCCTGCATCCCTGTGAGGAGGACAGGGATAAAAAAATACCCCTGGACATGACCTGAACCTGGAAACAAAGAGCAAAATAGTACAAATCGCCTTTTATTCTTTCCCCTTAGGGAGAGATACAAGGAATTCTGAGGATAATGCTAGGTTTTATGTTTTTCCAAATCTTCTCTCCTTGGTTTGCAGACCCAACCTCTGAATTTCAACCCTGGGCAACTTATTAAAGGCTCCGTGGTGTTTCTCAGCTAAAAAATTTGATAGAACTTTGATAAAATTGACATGGAGATTGAAGTTGGTTTTTGCAGCCGAGCCTCTGAGCAGGCAGGAGGCCCCAGCGTGGATGGGCGTCACCTTGGGATGGAATTTCTCCCCTTTTCCCGCTGATTCCATGTCTCCTCTCTCTCCTCAGGCCACGCTTATCGCCGGTGTGACCTGAACGGGAGCTGGGAGCTGGTCCCGGGCAACAACCGCACCTGGGCCAACTACAGCGAGTGTGCCAAGTTCCTCACCAACGAGACGAGGGAAAGGGTAGGCATTCCCATTCCTGCATGGAGCTGGAATTTCCGGCCTCATGCCAGGCTAACCCACGGACCTCTGTCTCAAATAAAACCTCTCCAGCTCATCTTCCTCCTCTTGGAAAGCCTTCCCGAGCTTGCCAAAGCCACACCGCGCTTTGATGGGCAATGATTTGATTGGAAAATTGTCCTCAAAGGCAGGAAAGTTTCCTGCAGCTGCCATGATCCCATTCCTGAAGAGATCTTGGGGGAAATTGGTCTCGGGGACGCTCAGAAGTGGTTGGAGCTTGTTCCGTGGCATTGAGGCTCCCTCTGCCACAGCAGGAAATCCTTTTGCTGCCAGGTTGTTATCGAAAATTCCGATGTTTCTGTGGTTGTCTGTGGGAGGGGATGTCCAAACACGTGTGGAATCAAACCAGGAGCAACTGGTTGGGAGAGCTGAGAATGTTCCCCTGGAGAGGAGAAGCTCCAGGGAGAGCTCAGAGCCCCTTGCAGGGCCTGAAGGGGCTCCAGGAGAGCTGGAGAGGGACTGGGGACAAGGGATGGAGGGACAGGAATAGCTTTGAGCCAGAAGGAAGTAGATTCAGATGGGATTTTGGGAAGGAATTCGAGGCTGGGAGGGTGGGGAGGCACTGGTACAGATTCCCAGAGCAGCTGTGGCTGCCCCTGGATCCCTGGAAGTGCCCAAGGCCAGGCTAGATGGAGCTTGGAGCAACCTGGGAAGGTGGGAGGTGTCCCTGAACATGGCAGGGGTGGAATGGGATCATCCTTCAGATCCCTTCCCACCCAAACCTAGCCGCTATTCCACAGTCTTGAATTAATTCTGGCGTAGTCACAATCTGGAAAGAGTGACACCAGTCACCAGCTGGAAAAGGGTTTCCAAGCACATGGAGAAGGTCTGGTGTGCTCTTGGAATTAAATAAAAATAAAAATCTGTCAGCCATAAATTTAGAAACATCCAGAAAACGGTAAAATAGCCAAATAGCAGCTGCCAGAAATTTCCCACCTCCCCAGGAGCCAGCCTGGGGCTCTGGAAATGCTGGAAGTCTGGAAGGAATTCTGTGCTAAGGTGACAGCAAAGCTGTCCCTGGTGTCACTCGGGAGGATGTGACCTCCTTGTCCCACAGAGAATGACGCTCCCACCCACACGCACCTGTAATTCCCAAAGAATTTATCCAAACCCTCTGGTTTTCCAGTGGTTCTTGGAAGAGTCCCCTCGGATCTGGGGCACGGCGTTAGGGGTTGATGAGCCGCAGGGAGGATTAGCCCAGACAGCTGGAGATAAGGATCTAACCACAGCTTCCTTGAGGATGATCCAGAGGCCCTTCAGGACAATGTTCTTAATTTGAAATCTAACCACAGAGTAGGGTTTTTTGGGGTCGGGGTTTTGTTTTGGTTTGGGTTTTTTTTGTTGTTTGTTTGGGGTTTTTTTCTTTTTTTTTTTCCGGTTGTTCAAAAAGTTCGCTCTTTTGGGTTGTTCCAAAGTTTGCTCTTTTTTCTCCTCAAGAGTGAAGCAGCTCATGAATGAAGAGATTTAGGACATGAGGGAAAGGAGGAAATGAGTTTTTTCTCTGACATGGGCAAGGGGCAGAAGGTTGTGTGCACTGGATGCTGCTCCAGCAAAGGGCTGGGTGATGTTCCCATCCCAAACCAGTTTGGTGGGATTTTTCCCAGTTCTTAGAACTTAGAAAAGAGCTCTTCCAGCCCCAGAATTTTCTGGAAAGCTCCTGGAGCAGGTGTGAGAGTCATCGAGCACCGTGATCAAAGCACAGACTTTTGACCTCTCTGAAATCGTCTCCTCTGTCCCGCTACCCTCAGCCACATCCTGGGGTGGGAATTGTCCAGCTGATTTCCCCCGATCCAAGATTTCCCCCAGGGAAAGGATATCCTTTCCCTTTACCCTCCCACAGGCAGGACTTGTCAGGGTGACCTGGTAAAGGAAGGGCACGAAGAAGAGCAGAGTTGCTCTTTTTTTTTCCCACCACAGAGGCAGAAATGGAAACTTTCCACCTCCAGGGTGATTGAAAAGGATGAAAGCAAAATCTCCCGTGGTGATTCCTCCTTTAATCTCAGCCTCTTGGGAAATTCCTGCTCCTCATGAGCTCTCCCTAAATGATCTGTGTTAATTACCCATCCCCAAATCCTCCCCCTCGTTATTCTGTACCCAAAGCTGAGGCATCTTTTGCCAGGAATTTTCTGTCATGGCTCCAAAGGTGAATGGAATGATATTTAATATGAAGACAAATTAAACCATCATCACTGTTCACATTAAGTGACCAGGCTGCTCTTACGTAAGTGGTGCTTACCCAGGGCAAAGAACATGGAAATAATGGATGTTTCTGCCAGCTTTGAAATCATACCTTGATCAACTAATGCTTTTTAATGACATCAAAAATATTATTATTATTGTTGTTATTATTATTATTATTGTTATTATTATTATTATCATCATCATCATTATCATCATTATCATTATTATCATTATCATTATCATTATCATTATCATTATCATTATCATTATCATGATTATAATTGCAAGACTCCTTTCCCTCAGGCCTGGCCTCACCTCAGTGATTCTGTGCCTTGTCACGGAGTTCCCTGATTCTATCACAGAGGTGGATGAATTATTGTGGCAAATAAAGTGCATCCACTGTGGGTTTCTTGGGGTATGAAAACCACTCTGGAAGTAAAAGAGAGGGAAAAAATGTACTTTTTCCCCTCAGTGTGGTGTGACTTTGCCCACAGAGAGCACAGAAGGCCTCTTGTCAAGCTTAAGGGGATTATAAACTTTCCTGTGATATCTCTTTTTTATGGAGTAGATTTTCAGCATCTCATTATTATCATTATTACTATTACTATTACTATTACTATTATTATTATTACTACTATTACTATTATTATTGTATTTGCAAGAGACCTTTCCCTCAGGCCGGCCTCGCCTCAGTGATTCTGTGCCTTGTCACAGAGTTCCCTGATTTTATCACAGAGGTGGCTGAATTCTGGTGACAAATTAAACAATATCTGTGCATCCACTGTGGGTTTCTTAGGCTTTGGGGTGTGAAAACCACTCTGGAAATAAAAAAGGGGGAAAAAAATGTACTTTTTCCCCTCAGTGTGGTGTGACTTTGCCCACAGAGAGCACAGAAGGCCTCTTGTCAAGCTTAAGGGGATTATAAACTTTCCTGTGATATCTCTTTTTTATGGAGTAGATTTTCAACATCTCATTATTATCATTATTATTATTACTATTACTATTATTATTATTACTACTATTACTATTACTATTACTATTACTATTATTATTGTATTTGCAAGAGACCTTTCCCTCAGGCCCGGCCTCGCCTCAGCGATTCTGTGCCTTGTCACAGAGTTCCCTGATTTTATCACAGAGGTGGCTGAATTTTGGTGACAAATTAAACAATATCTGTGCATCCACTGTGGGTTTCTTAGGCTTTGGAGTGTGAAAACCACTCTGGAAATAAAAAAGGGGGAAAAAAATGCACTTTTCCCCTCAGCATGGTGTGACTTTGCTCACAGAGAGCACAGAAGGCCTCTTGTCACACTTCAATGTGGCTCTGCTGGGATTAATAAACCTCCCTTTGATATCTCTTTTTCATGGAGTAAATACATCCAGAGATGTCAGAACAGGGGAATTTGGCCACATAGAGCTGTCGTCTTGAGCGAGAGATCGTTTTCTATTATTATTTCCCTCCCTGGGGAGCGGCATCTTTGCGTCACCACCAACAGCTGCATTTCCCCAGCATTCTGCCAGGAGATTGTGGCTGACTCCGAGCAGATGCAACCAGAGGGAATTTTAAGAAACTGGGCATTTAGGAGGAAAAAAAAAAAAAAAACCCTAACCCAACTGTCTGTGGCTATAAATATATGGATTTGGTGGCTATCTCTGGAAATAGGCCTGAACCTATAGATAGCTGGAGATATCCACGCCTAAATAAACACCACATGCGTGCACACATCTCCAGCCAGGGATGTTTGTTTAGGTGGAGAGTTTTCCCATTTTAGCCGTGCTGGGATAATTTTAAGATTGGCCAAAGCAGCGAACAGAGGGCCCCAGAGCAAGTTGGTGTTCTGCCCCGAAGAAATGGGGATTATTTCACACAGAGCAGCTCGGAAACCGCTCTCTGCAAAGAGCAAAGTGTGTTAAAGCCATCAGAGCCTGGAGAATTAACAGCTCGTAACTGCCCCGGGAGCAACTGCTCCTGGGCTGCTTCCTCAGGGAAAAATTCCACTGGAGGATGGGAACTGGCAGCCCCGGAGGTTGATTCCTCCTTTAGCCAGGTAGGATGAAGCAATCTAGGGAAGTGTTTCCTCAAATTCCTTCCAGATAACATGAAAGAGGGAGTGGACAATCAGCTGGAAGTGTCCAAGGCTGGGTTGGACAGGGTTTGGAGCAGCCTGGGATAGTGGGAGGTGTCCCTGCCATGGCAGGGCTGGCACTGGATGGGCTTTAAGGCCCCTTCCCAAAGCATTCCATGATTCCAGGACCTTGCAGCGGTCAAAGGACTGGAGTTTCACACTCCCCATCCATCGGCGATGGACACAGGATGAGCAGAGGAGAGGATAAGAGGAACCTGCTCCAATCGTCCCAGCTTCCTCTGAACTTTTGGGAAGAAATTCCTCCCTGGGATGAAATTCCCGGGGCAGCTGTGGCCTGGATCCCTGGCAGTGTCCAAGGCTGGGTTGGATGGGGTTTGGAGCACCCTGGGATAGTGGGAGGTGTCCCTGCCATGGTAGGGGGTGGCATTGGGTGGTCTTGTCCCTCATGGCAGGGACCTTCCACTGTCCCAGGATGCTCCAAGCTGTGTCCAGCCTCGGTCACTGCCAGGGATCCAGGGACAGCCACAGCTGCTCTGGGAATTCTATTCCCATCCCTCCCCACCTCCATAGCCAGGAATTCCTTCCCAATATCCCATCTAATTCGACTCTCTTTCAATTTGAACCCAATCCCCTCATCCTGCCTTGTCCCCAGTCCCTCTCCAGCTCTCCTGGAGCCCCTTCAGGCCCTGCAAGGGGCTCTGAGCTCTCCCTGGAGCCTTCTCCTCTCCAGGGGAACATTCCCAGCTCTCCCAGCCTGGCTCCAACCCTGGAGCAGCTCCGGGACCTCCTCTGGATCTTTCCAGCCGCTCCAAATCACATTTATTGTGGATTTGTTCTGTTCCCACACTCTTCCCTAAGCACCCCTTCCTGGCTACGAAGGAGACGGGGAGCAGAGCTGAAAGGACCATTGGCCTGGCCCTTCTCCTCTGTTCCCTAAATTCCCTTAAAACCAGGAGTGAGGGTGACCTGTATTCCTCAAGCTCCTCACTCTTTGGATAAAATGCGGCATGAAGGACAAGTGATGATCCTCGGGCAGCTTTTTAGCCCATTCCTCCCCAAATTCCGTCGAGCCGCCGACTGCGGATCCCTTTCCTTCCACACATCCAGCCAATAGCAGCCAGATCCTTTTTCCAGTCACTTTTTCCAGCACTGGCAGCAGCAATGGCATGTTTGGGTCAAAAACCAGGGATTTCCCTCATTCCCATCTCCCCCAAAAGAGCAGGGATGCCAAACACAGCTTATTTTTATGGCAGGTCTAACCCATCCTCTTCCCAAGGATGAGCTGAAGGGTGAGTGGGATCTCCCTCTCCCAAAATCCCAGGGAAGGGGAGTCGGAGCCAGCAACTTGGGAGGTTGGCTCGGCTTGGGAGCCACCAGCAGGATGGGCCATCCTAAGATCCAACCTCAACCCTGTCTTCATCTGCTCCTGCTTGTTTGTAGCGTGAGGGTTTTACGGCTTCCCAGGAATTCGGAGGGGCCTGGAGAATCCATCCCCTTCCAAACACAATGGGAAGGGCCCAGCGTGTTGCAGGGCTGCTTTATCTAAACTCCATTGTTCCAAGCAACAATCCTGGAGCTCTCTGGGGTCCTGGGAAAAGCAAACAACTTTGTGGAGGCTCAAAGTGACGGCACAGGAACGGGTTTGGATTGTTGTATCCCGAACTCCGCCAAAGCGTGCCAGCAAAGCGTCAGGCATTTGCAGCAGGATGCGGGCAGAGGTTTTTAAAGGCCGTGGAGGAATAAAACAAATTATCCGAGAGGTGTTTTGTTCATAATTTCAATTAACCCCGAGGTGCCATCCTCATTCCATGCCTGTGGATTTGGTGCGGTGCTTTCCTGGAAATAGAATCCCAGAATCCTGGAATGGTTTGGGTTGGAAAGGAGCTTAAAGATGATTTTTGTGGACATCCATGTCTAAATTGGCATGTCTGAGGCTAAATTGGGGGCCTTTTGTGAGAGCCAGTCCCAGCGACTCTCAGATTGGGGGGATTTAAGAGCCTGGAATCTCTGTGGATGAGGGGAACAGAGTCCTGCAGGAACAGGATCATCAGCACTTAAAGTTTTCCATTTTGTGAATATCTCATTTTGTGAATATCCCGTTTTGTGAATATCCCGTTTTGTGAAAATCCCATTTTGTGAATATCCCATTTGGTGAATATCCCATTTTGTGAATATCGCATTTTGTGAATATCCCATTTTGTGAATATCCCATTGTGTGAATATCCCACTTAGCTTTTTATTTAGTCCCATTTTTCCTGAAAAAAAAAAAAAAAAAGAAAAAAGAAAAGGGAAAAAAGAGAAAAAAGGCAAGAAAAGAAAGGACAGAGATTTTATGGCTTTGTTTATCACTCAAAGCAGCAAACCATGAAACTCAGGATAGGATTTGCCACCAGAAAATTCCTGCTCTGTCTGGTTTTCCTTTTCCTTTTGCACACATGGCAGCAGTTGAAAAAGTGGAGGGCTCCTGCAGGAATCAAATTTGTGGAATCATGGAATCCTGAATTGGTTGGGGTTGGAACAGACCTTAAAGTTCGGCCAGTTCCAGCTCTGTGTCGTGGGCAGGGACACCTCCATGAAGCCCTGAATGCTTCGATTAAATGATAATTAAATTTAATTTAGTTAAATTATCATTAAATTTAAATTAAATTTAAAGTCAATTCAAGTTTTGTTATCACACTTAATAAACCAGGACCTCACGGCAATGCCAGGTTTGGCCTCTTCCACCGATGGATGACCAGGGATGGTCTCCTCAGGCTGGGCTTCCAGGAGGCCTCAGGTGGGAACTCCCTGGAGTGATGGAGCTCCACGTTGTGTCCGTGGCTTGGCCATCGTGACCTTTGTGGTTTTCTGGGAATTATTTAACTTCCCATCCATCTCAGCTCCCTAAGGATGCTCCTCAAACCATGGAGATCGTCTTTGCAGATCATTCAGTATTTCCCTACCTGGAGGACCTTTCCTGGTTGTTCATTGTGGTTTCCATGAGCCAGGACATCCCTTGGGAGACTTGGAATTCCTTTGGAGATTTTTTTCCCCTCATGGGTAAACCCAGGGAGGAAAAGCTCCTGGGAACAACCAGTCCTGAGCTCCAAGTGAGGGAGAAGTGGAAGTGGAGAGACTCAATTTTTTGCTCCAAAGGCTTTCCCCAAAGATCTGAGAAACTCATCCAAGAAATCACATTTCCCAACAGCTTTCCAGTGACTCCAGGTGGAATTTGGGGCACCTCCTTCTGTTGGGTTACTGAGAATTCCAACCTTGGAGTGAAAAGATTATTATTATTATTATTATTATTATTATTATTATTATCATCATCATCATCATCATCATCATCATCATCATTGTTACTTTTTAAAATATTTCACTATATATATTTTCACATATTTATATTTTATATATATATAATATATATATTATTTATTACATATAGTTATGTTTATATTTGCATTATTTATAATAGTAGTAGTTTTTTTTCTATTTTTATTTCTATATTTTATTTATATTATCATTACATTTTTTACTATGGAGCTTTTTTATATTTTTTACTCGGAGCTTTCCAGCTCCAAGAGGATTCCAGCTTGGCAGCAGGAAAATCACGCCAGGATATTTTTCCCTGAAAGCTTTGAAATCTCCTTTTCTTGGCTTTTCAGGGCCTGCTGCCTGCACAGACAGATCTATAAAAATCTATAAAAATATCCCATAAATACGCACAGACACACTCAGTAAATTAATATTGGCAAGGGCTTCGCTCCTCCAGCGCAAACCGCAGAGAAACATTCCCAAATCTGCGGATTCTGATGTAATAGGGCTGAGGTTTGGCATTCCAGGACAGCGTTCCAAGCCTCAAATCCCAATCAGAGCTGTCATTCAGGGCCCAGCATTCCTGACGTTATTGCAGCCCAGTGGGCAGGGCGAGGGGAAGGAGGGAATGAGGAGAAAGATGCTGAATTTGTAGGGTTTTTTGGGATTTATTGCTAAAATCGGTCTGGGAAAAGCAGGACAGGCCGGGACAGCAGTGGGCAGGAATTTTAACCCTTTCCAGGAATCCCTGAGTTCAGCTGCAAGTCCCAGCAGGATCAAGGAAAATATCCCGATGTTTGTTGGAAACCTCAGGGTTTCGAGGCCAACTTCAGGAAACAGCAACCTTAAGTTCCTAAATTCTTAATTCCTAAAGGATTAATTATTAGGAACTACCCTGTGACAGGATCTTTTCCAATGGGATTTTGGCAAGCTCCGGTTGTGTCTGGATTGGATAACCACAGGCAGAGGCTGCTTGGGATTTCAAAACGGGAAAAATAAACGCAGGTGATTTTTTTTCCCTCATATCCCATAGCCAAAGCATTTCCTTCCCGTGTTTTCTGGTGTGGGTTACACTTGCCCAGGCTGGACATCAGTCATCCAGCAACGGCTAAATTGTGCAATTCCAGCAAAATTCCCAGCCCAGAAGGCATTTTGTCCAGGAAAAAATTCCCAAGTGATCCCTGAATTGGACCAGGAGTTTGTAAAGCGCTTTGGGTTCCTCTGGGATGAAAATGCCGTGAGATTCCCAGCCATGGGATTAACGCCATTCCATCATTAATCCCTTGCAAAATTCCCAGCTCAGCAGGGATTTTGTCCAGGAAAAATTCCCAAGTGATCCCTGAATTGGGCCAGGAGTTTGTAAAGCACTTTGGGTTCCTCTGGGATGAAAATGCCGCGAGATTCCCAGCCATGGGATTAACCCCACTCCATCATTAATCCCTTGGGGAAAATCCCACGGGGAAAATCCCACCTCCCCACCTCAGGGAACACAAACCCCGCTTCCCAAGCTTCCAAAAAGACGGGAATCCCCAAGGATCCAGGCTCTGTGTGCTGCCAGGGTTGTGTGGTGCAGCAGTTCCCCGTGTGACGCTGTTTTCTCCATCGTTTCTGCTGCAGGAGGTCTTTGATCGCCTCTATTTGATTTATACTGTTGGATACTCCATCTCCCTGGGATCCCTCACAGTTGCTGTCCTTATCCTGGGATATTTCAGGTAGGCGGCTCTGTTTTTACCTAAGTGACACTGGAAAAGCCTCGGGTTTTTCCGGGAGGATAAAAATGGGGTGGCACGCTTCAGGAAGCCGCCAGTGGTGGTGGTGGCATCTGGGATTTGGGCTGTGTTAGGGTATCCTAGGGAAAACTTCCCACGGGATGGCGGGTGGGATGTTGAAATTCCTTCTGCTTCCCTCAGGTGGAGTTTTCCAGGCCCTTTTTGTAGCAAATCTTCCAGGAATCCCTTGGAAGACTGTCCAGGAATTTTCTGTCCCTATCGTCCCCACAGGTGGTTTACCTTTAGGTGGCTGATTTGCAGAGAAATATGATTTCCTGAGGGAAATTCTGCTCTAAATCCGGATGTTCTCGAAGGATAAAGCAGTTGAAATGGATGGAAAACTCCCAGGCTGATTTCTCCAATCTCCCCACGCTGCTGCTCTTCCCAGAGATACAAAAATTACCCTCCTGACCCCATCATGTGCCCTCCCTTCCCACCACCCCTGCCAAGGGATTTAAACCCCTAAATACCACTTTGAACCCTCATTATCCATTCCTCGATCCAGCGTTGCATCTTCCATCCCTGGAAGTGCCCAAGGCCAGGTTGGACATGGCTTGGAGCAACCTGGGATAGTTGGAATGGGATATTTACAGCCTCTTCCAGCCCAAACCATTCTGGGATTCTGGGATTCCTGCAGGCACAGACAGCGAGCGGTGGGAGGGATGAAAGGTGTCACCCATATCCAGGAATTTGTCCTTTGGGGAATGTTCTGTCTGGTGACCCGACAGAGAAGGGTGACCCCAAACCCTGAGCCCCAGATTTGCTTCCCTTCGATGTCTGCTCGTGTCTTCTCCTAAAAAAACCCGCGGGACGTGGATCAGAGCTGGTGGGGGCCACGACAGCCACGTGGTGTCTGCAGTGGGACTTGGGAAGCTCGAGCCAAGCCCTCGACATGGAACACTGGGAATGAAACGTGGGGCTTTGGGCTCTGAGAGTGCTCGGAGCCCTCGGCAGGCAGCAAAAGGTGTCAGGGCAGTTTGCTTGGATAGCAAATCCCAAATCCGTGACAGACCCAATCCAAAGGGAGCTGCAGACCCCATCCCTCTACCACGCTCCTGTTCTCCCAACATTTTCCTTCCACTGATTTCCCACTGGACACTGGCAAGGTTGTTAAAATATTCCATGTCCACATGTGCAAGAGAATTCCTGGTTTTCCTTTATCCATGTCTTTATCCCACTCAGAGCATTTAATTTCCAGCCCAGACCACCTGGGCAGCTGTGGTGGAGCATCTTTATCCCAAGGATCAGAGCAGCAGTAGGGATCGAGCCAGATTTTATCCTCGATAATCCGGAGATTCACTCCGACTCCCTTTCAAACGCAGGGAGCAAAGCCAATTTAGACCTCATCAGTTCCACTTGGTGTAATTTGGATTATAAAAGCTCAGAGAGCAACTGGTGATGTTATCATAACGTCCTGCAAAAGGGATAAAAACATAACCATTAATTAGTGCAGGTTATTGGGCTTTAAGAGGATATAAATCCATTCATAAATCCAGAGCTCCAGAGGATGGAGGGCACCCAAAGAGGTCAGTTCCTTCTTCCCAAAAATCCTGATTCTAAAATGCACCTCTTCTCCCTGGTTCTGACCCATTCCCCTCTCACCATCCCCAAAAAAGCTTTTTCCTCCTAAAAGGACCTTAAAGCGCTTTACAACCAGGATTTGTGGGGTCACTGCTGCCGCTGCTGGGGTGGAGCCCACAAACTGCTCCAAAGGATCACATTTACAGCAGGAAAACTGGGAGAACAGCCCAGCACACCGGAGTTTCTGCTGGAGCTGCTCCTAAATTGAGCTGGACAAAAAAAATAAAAATAAAAATTAATGGTTTACAAGAAGCTCTATGAGGTTTCCAGCGGCCCCAAGTTCTGGAGCCTCTGGAATCCATGGGCAAGTGTGGATAGGAGAGCGAGAATGGCTTCCCACTGCTGGAGGGCAGGGTTGGAGCAGATTTGAGGAAGGAATTCCTGGCTGGGACGGTGGGGAGGGGCTGGGATGGAATTCCCAGAGCAGCTGTGGCTGCCCCTGGATCCCTGGAAGTGCCCAAGGCCAGGCTGGACGGGGCTTGGAGCAACCTGGGACAGTAGAAGGTGTCCCTGCCATGGCAGAGGGTGGGATTGGGTGGGCCTGAAGTCCCGTCTATCCCAAACCATTCCATGATTCCCTGAAGCCCCTGGAGAAGGTGTCAATCCATTTCCCAAGGCCAAGGGAGAGCAGGGAGTGAGGTGACCCTCACTCTGCTCCCAATGGGGACACGGCGCTGGTGGGAGGAGCTGGGGCTCTCCAGAGCCAGAAGAGGCCCTGACTCCATCCAACAGCTGGAGTAAACTTCCCAATCCTTTTTCTCCTCTTCCAGACGTTTGCACTGCACTAGGAACTACATCCACATGCACCTGTTTGTGTCCTTCATGCTGAGAGCCGTCAGCATCTTCGTGAAGGACGCGGTCCTGTACTCCGGGTCAGCCCTGGAGGAGATGGAGCGGATCTCCGAGGAAGACTTGAAATCCATCACGGAAGCACCTCCAGCAGATAAATCGCAGTTTGTGAGTATTCTCAGAGCAGCATTTTCGCAGGATTCATGTCTTTGTCCTCCCTGTTCAACACTTACCCTCTTTTTGGGGAGTTTTCCACCCAACTCATCTGTCACAGCCTCTTCCCGTCCTTTCCCATTCTCAATCCATCGGTTCAGAGGGATTCCCCATCCCTGAGCTAAGGAAAAGCTTCTCTCATGGCAGTCAAGGTTGATGGTTTGATTCCCACCTACATTCCCCTGAGACCCCCTGGAATTTACGGCTGTGGAAACGTTCCCGACCATCCCAGCACAAGGCACATCCAGCTTGGCTCGTAACACCTCCACGGATGGGGAATGCACGATTTTCCTCCCTCCCATTTGGAAAAAAAGACATTTTGGAAGGGAAAATGGGGGAAGGATGTGGTGTCGTAAAAAAGGGCGGGGCTCATCTGCATAAAGGAGGTGGTGTCTGTGAGAGGGACCTTGGGCAGAATCACTGAGCTTGGAAAAGAATTCCAAGGTCATCCAACCTTGGAATGGTTGTTTGGTTCCCAATCCTCACCTTGTCCCCAGCCCAGAGCCCCAAGTGCCACATCCAGGAATTCCTTGGACTCGTCCAGGGATGGGCACTCCAGGCCTCCCTGGACAGCTCCTTCCAATGCCTGACCACCCTTTCCATGGGGAAATTCCTGCTGATGTCCAACCTGAACCTCAGGTTCCCTTTATTGGTTGAGTCAATCGAGTTGACTCAGCATCCCAAGATTAAACTGGAACTGAGGTCAGCTGGACTCGCCTCCAAAATTCCACGGGGATTTCGCTGTACAGAAATCTCTGATGGCAATATCTGCATTGTCCATGTGCTTGGGGGCATGAAGCCCATCCTCACGTTTCCCACATCCTGAAACTCTCGGCTCTCCCTGTCATTGGTTTCATCAAGGATTTCACATGGAATCCATGGAATGGAATCCTGGATCTGGCCCCTTCTCACTTCCCACAATTCCTTGCCAGGAGGGGACAGCTGGGGAGGGTCGGGCTCTGCTCCCAGGGAACAGGAACAGGAGGAGAGGGAACGGCCTCAGGCTGGTCCAGGGGAGGCTCAGGCTGGACACCAGCAGGAATTTCCTCGTGGAAAGGGTGGCCAGACCTTGGAACTGCCCAGGGAGGGTTTGGATTCCCCACCCCTGGAGGTGTCCAAGGAATTCCTGGATGTGGCACTTGGTGCTCTGGTGGGGATCAGGCACAGGTTGGACTCGATGGCCTTGGAGATCTTTTCCAACCTCAAGGATCCCAGGATAAACCTTCCCGCCTGTGGATTTGCTTGGCATCTCAAGTCTTTCCCAGCTTGTGCTACAACCATAGACCAGCACCACCCCGTGAAAAATCAGAGGGTTTGGGAATGTCCCACTGTGCATCCGAGTGTCCAGCTGGGATGACTTTGTCATTGTGTTCCTTTCCCATCCCGAAGATCTGTGTCATTCATTTACAGAGTCTCACTCAATTCGCTCCAAAACTCTCAATTTTTTGGACAGAACACAAAATGTTTCACTGCATTGTTTGGTGTTTCTCCTCATGGCGAGCTCATTATAAGGAATAATTAGGATAATCCATGGCATTCTTTGGATATTAGCATTTAATGGCATTTCCCAATCTTCAGAATAGTGAAGCAAACAAGAGATGAAGGCGACAATTAATTCATTTATTTTGTATCCAAATGAAGTGGGGACTTGGCAGTTTTTGCTTCACTTTCCCTGCATGAGGCAATAAATATGAAAAATAAATATAGAAAATATTACCAAGCCTAGTAATTTGTAGGGATTTTTCATAAATATAAAAAATATTAATTCATTTAGGGGGATTTTTAATGAACCTATTTTAATTTCTTCTGTCTATGAAAAAAAAAAATTAGTGCAACGTGTACATATCTTATCAATATGCAAATATATGTATAGATGTCTATATTGATGGACAAAAAATTAACAAAAGAGCTGTACCGGGATAAAAAAAATCTCTTTTTATTTCCAAGGTATTACAATTGTCATTTTCTGTCAGTCCTTTGTATTCCTCTCAAAGGAAGGGACAGCACAAAGCTGGGCCAAGGGATGGGGCAGCCACAGAAATCCTGGGAAATCCAACTTCCCAGGACACCCACAGTGACAGGGAATGGCTTTGTACTGATTAAACCCAAAGTGGCACCAATATTTTGCAGCCTTTGTCTGCTGGAGGTGAGAAATTTGGGAAGAGGGGCTTTGTCCCGCTCTGCCCCATGGGAGTGTTGGGTCACAGTTGGGGTTTTGCTTCCAAAAAAATTATAGGATTTCATCCCAGTGTGGAGCGAGAGCTGAGTGTAGGAGCCCGTTTAACATCAGAATGTCCTGGAAGCCTCTCCCAGATCTCCCACCTTTGCAGCTCAGGTTTTTCAAGGAGAAACCTCCAGGCTCTGTTTGCTCTTGGAGCTCCCGGCTCCAAAGGCAGCAGGAACCATCTGCAGTGGCTCCCGATTGCTGAGGACAGACAAACAACCCCGGAGGATCCTGGCGTGGACATCCATGGCAGGATGGGGTGACCTCATCCCACCTTGTTCTCTCCTGGAAGGAGCTGTAATTCCAGGTGCTGTGGCACCAGGACAACTTGGCCGAGGCCCTTTGGCCTCCAACATGGACAAGGGACAGAGGGAGAAGATGAAATACAGGGAAAGACGAAACCAAACTGCTCTAGGAAGTGTGTGAGCCCCTCCTCACCGGGCTGGGAGACAGCAGGATCAGGCCATCATCTCTTTTTCTCTCCTTCCCAACTCACCTGCCGTAAGAAAAAACATCTTTGGCTCAGGAGTTTTTTCCCCCCACTTTTTTTCCTTCCTACTCTTCCACGGATTTCCCCCCTCATAAAAAACCCCGGAACAGAATTTTCCGATTTAATTATTTTCTTTTCTCCACCTCTGTTTCCCGCCCCACCAAGAATTTCACACCCTGTTCCTTCTCTGTCCTTCTGTGGTCGCTGCAGGTGGGCTGTAAAGTAGCTGTCACCTTCTTCCTCTACTTCCTGGCAACCAATTACTACTGGATCCTGGTGGAAGGGCTCTATCTCCACAGCCTCATCTTCATGGCATTTTTCTCAGAGAAGAAATATCTTTGGGGATTCACATTATTTGGCTGGGGTAAGTCGTGGCTGCTCCTCATGGCTGTCTGGAAAAGCCTCTTGGAGGTGTTTCTGGAAACTGTGGATGTACAGAAATATGGGAGAGGTGGTGGAGGCAGGATGAGCATCAGGGGGCTCTCACAAGGACGGGTTTTCCACCCTTTTCCATCCTTTATCATTCCAGAATTGTGGTGTTCACACTGTGGCTCTTCCAGGGTCTCCAGAAGGATCAGCCCAGGCTTGGAGAGGCAGCACAAAGAGCCAGGGAATCCCAGGATGGGTTGGGATTGGGAGGGACCTTAAAGCCCCTCCAGTGCCACCCCTGCCATGGCAGGGACACCTACCACTGTCCCAGGCTGCTCCAAACCCCGTCCAACCTGGCCTTGGGCACTGCCAGGGATCTGGGGCAGCCACAAATCCCTGGTGGAGCCTCACCAACTCAGCGTTCTGCCGCCCTTCCAGGGCAGAAAATGTGAGAGCTAAATTTGGGATGAGACAGCCAATTTCAGGGATTTATCCCCATCTCTTCCCAGGATCTCCTGTTGAGAAACCAGTGCTGAGCTGGAGGGGCAGAAATCTGTGGGAGGTTTTGAGCATCTGCTCCCAATGAGAGCCCCAAGCTCCGATTTCCTCCCTCAAACCTCAGCTGGTTCAAATCCCTGAGGTCTCCTGAGCCTCGGAACACCACTGGAAAACCTGCAATTTGTGGGGAAGACTTTTTTATTTTCCTTTTCTTTCAACTTGGGCATCTTTTCCCTGAGTAATGAGAAAGGGGCGGGATGTGGGTGCAGGGAAGGGGCTCATTAGGAGAAGACGTTTTGGGCACGCACATTTCGGAGGAGAATGGGATTTCTGTTCGCTCCTGGCTTTAATTTTGGCTTCCCAGGAGTTACGAGGTGCTGGGATAATAAAACAGCTGCCCACAGTTGTCTCGGAGTCTGGAGGTTGGGAGGAGAACAGGGAATGTTTCCGATGATCCTCGAGGATGTGAGGGAGGATAATGGGGTGCAGGTTTAAACAGGAATTACAGCAGGAAAACCTGTCCGGGGGGGTTGTGGCTACCTGGCTCAGCACCTCTTCCCAAATTCCATATCCCAAATCCACCTGGCCGCATTCTGACTGCAATTTAGGACAAGGTTCAGGTGTGCACCACCCCATCCCCATTCCAGAACTAGATTTTTATGGGAAAAGAAAGTTGGTGGCTCTCCCTTAACAGTGGAGGTGGGAGCAAGGCAGGGAACACAGAACTGGGTTTATGAAGGATTTCAGATTTTTGGGATTCCATACTCTGGGGCAGGGCTCTCTCCAGCCTTTCTCCTTCCCAAAGGGGATATGGGGAAGATGCTGCTTCCCAAACCATCAGCTGCTCCACGGGTCAGAAACTGCTGACAGATGATAAAGATGGGAAGTGTAAATACAGAAATATTCCAAAGTAGGATTCCAACTCTCAGGAAAAACCTAGTCCTGGGCAGCTGGAAAAAAAATTTGGGAAAATCAACAAATTAAGAGATATTTGAAGGGGCTTGGAGTAACCTGGGATAGTAGAAGTTGTCCCTGCCCTTGGCAGGGGGTGGAATGAGATGGGATGAGAAGGTCCCTTGTAACTCAGATTATTTTGGGATTCTATTTTGGGGATTTGGCATTTCTTATCTCAGCTGCTGAGGGACAGAGAGGGCTTTGGATGGCACATCTTTGCTAAAGCAAATGAACAAAACCCCAACTAAATTGAATTAGAGAAGAGAAATAAACTCATCTTCCTCCAAACCTTCAGGCTCTGTAAAAAATTCCATCTCCAAAAAAAAAAAATAACATCAGACTGCAAAAAGAGCAGACTTAAAGAAGCAACTTCCCAGAGGGAATTCAGGAGGAGAGGGGGAAGCGGCTGGAAAATAATGCCGTGTGTTTAACGAGCAGGACCAAAGGAAAACGTTGGGATGGGCAGGGGTTGCTCTCGTTAATTCTCCCGAGCTCTGCCAGGGAATAATCATTTTATCGGAGCGACCGCAGGGCTGGAGGCACACCTGTCACAACAGCCAGCATCCCCGGGCTTCCAGGAGGCTGTCCCGTGGAAATTTCTCTGGAATGAGAACACACGATCCCTCCGGTGGCAGTTGGGATTGCTTTGTTTGGATTGGGATGATAATGTCCGCACAGGCACCCGCTCAGGCGGATTGTTTGGATAATTTTTGGGCACTGGAAAGGGCAAACCAATCCAGGAGCCGCTGGAGACAGTGGAAAAATTCCAGTTCCCTGCAGCGGGCACTGGATCCTGCCCCACACCGCAGCAATGAGTGACAGGGAATCGGGGATAAATAATTATCCCACAGAAAAGACAGATTTGCACTCTGCACAAACCTGGAATATTCAGGCAATAATCAGAGTCAAATTTGTCCTGCCTGGAAATCTCCAAGGTGGAAACAGGGACTGAAAATCACCCTACAACATTTTATTTCTGGGAAAAGCAGGACAAAGAGCAATTCTTTGATGTCACCTCCACGGATTTCTGTCCGGTATTTTCAATCCACATCCTCACTGGCACACGCTCCATCAAAGTCCTCAATTCCCTTCTTCCAAGGGATCCATCCTGCCGAGGGAAAGGAACTCGTTCCCTGCCAGCACCCACCCCAAATAAATAAATAATGACATTATGGGATACAATAAATCCCTTGGGAGACTCCCAGCTCCCTGCAGCTGTTTTTTGAAGGAAGTTTAGGAACCATGACCAATAGCCAGGAAACCCAAGCTGATTCCGTTGGCAATTTCCTTCACACCGTGTTAATTCCCACACATGCGGCTGGGCTGCCCTGGATTTCAGCAAATTGGGGGCTGCAGGGACACCTGGAAAAGATAAAACAGGATGGTGGAAGGTGCTCTGAAAATCCATGAGGATGAGCCCTGCGTGTTTATCCAAGCAGGAATAATCCTTCCCTGAAAAATTTGTATTCCCTGAAAAATTTGTACCAAGCAGGACCAGAGGCCTTCAAAGTATTATATTATTACTACTATGACTATTACTACTACTACTACTTTTATTATTATTATTATTATTATTATTATTATTATTATTATTATTATTATTACTACTATTATTATCATTATCATTACTATTACTATTCTATTACTATTACTATTATTATTATTATTATTATTCCCTTTTAATATCCAGGAAAAAGGGACACAGAGGGATTCATAAAATACAGGCATCGTTTATTATTATTATTATTATTCCCTTTTAATATCCAGGAAAAAGGGACACAGAGGGATTCATAAAATACAGGCATCGTTCCTCAGAGAGGCCTTTAAATCCCAGGGAACTGACAGAATTCCAAGATCCATGGTCTTTATTCCTAAACTCCCTTCCAGCAGTTGCTCCTTTACTCCACATGCCTGAAACCCGTTTTTCCAGCTGCTGGGAGACACGGACACGGGAAAAGCCCTGGAAGGGTTGGGGTGGGCAGCAGATTGTTCCCATTTTCTGGCTGCTGGGGAGATTCCTGACTTTATAGCACCTGCATTGTACACACTGTGTGTGGGGCTGGAAATGCACAGCGCATACAATGTGGATTCTGTACAAGTCGCTCACGGCATGGCGGGCTGGGTTGGATCGGGGTAGGACTTCCATCATCCATCCATCCATCCATCCATCCATCCATCCATCCATCCATCCATCATCCATCCATCCAACCATCCATCCATCATCCATCCATCCATCATCCATCCATCCATCATCCATCCATCCATCCATCCATCCAACCATCCATCCAACCATCCATCCATCATCCATCCATCCATCATCCATCCATCCATCCATCCATCCAACCATCATCCATCCATCATCCATCCATCCATCCATCATCCATCCATCCATCCATTCATCCATTCATCCATCATCCATCCATCCATCCATGCACATGCTGGGATTTTTAGGGATAACTCTTTTCCCCTGGTTATTTTATTGTTGCTTGGGAGCTCAAAGTCAGCACAGGATTAGTAAAAACGGGAATTGTGTCTCTCCTGAAGTTCAGGACAGGCAAAAGAGGAACAAATTCCTGCCAAATATATCCCAATCTCCCAAAAAGTCCACAGTCCACCCTTAGAGCTTTGCCATGGTGGGAATATCCAATCTTTCATGGACAGCCTTTCAACACGGCAGCTCCTCAGTGGATATAAACAGAATGAGCACCAAAAAATTCAATCCATTGGATGATTTTCCAGCGCCTGCCCTACTTTCCATGGATAGGTGGATAGCAGGGAGGAGGAAAGATCCAATGCCTGTCACCTTCCCTCGTTCCAAGTCCCCAGTGCGACAGGTCAAGGATTTTCTTCCCAGTGCCAGCACCACAGGGAATTGTGGAACGGGGATGAATTCCTTATAAATGTGGCTTTGTAGGAGCTCTGGGCCTGAGTGAGGCTCTGTGTTTAATTATTTATGCTTTCTTATATTACCTCGGCATTCCCAGCTCCCAGCCAGGATAAGGGCCCCGTTGTCCCCGGCTTTGGGACACAGCCGTCCCTGCTCCACACCCCGTGGTCAGGAAAACCTTTAAGCACCCTAATGAGACTTAAGTGCATGCTGAAAGTTAAGCCTGGGCTTATCCCTGAGCCCCAGTGAGCTTAGGCTGGGAACAGCCTCTTCACAGTCCCCGCTGATAAATGTCGCCTTTATTTATTTTTTAATAATTTTTTTTTTCCCCACCTGAAAGGGGTCATTCTTCCCGAATTTGTGGAAGCTACTGTGGCTTGGATCCTGCTTTTTAAGGGAAGCCAGTAGGGGACTCAGTTGTACAAATAACTGGACCCTAAAAAAATAAATACAAGGTTGCATTTGGATTTGGGGGGATTTTTTTTTTTCCAGGGAAAAGATGATGGCTTGGGGTATCTGTGCTGGAATCAGGATGGTTCATTTGGGAATGAACCTTTGGCTGGATATTTTGGAAGTATAATCCTAAATTTCAGCATTTCTCCGCTTCGTGCAGCAGCTCTCTTGTATTTAACAGAGCTTCCAATCCATCCAGGGATTTTCTGGGAGAAACTCTCTGAGCCTGACTCCTGCTCTACCTTTCCTTGATGTGAAGGAAGGGAGGAAATATCTTGGAGAAGGTGTGCTGCATAAAACCATTGGAATCATGGAATCGTGGAATAGTTTGGGTTGGAAGGGGTCTTGAGGATCATCCCATTCCACCTCCTACCATGGGCAGGGACACCTCCCACTGTCCCAGGTTGCTCCAAGCCCTGTCCAGCCTGGCCTTGGACACTTCCAGGGATCCAGGGGCAGCCCCAGCTGCTCTGGGAATTCCATCCCAGCCAGGAATTCCTTCCCAATATCCCAAAATCCAAGCAGTGGGAGCCATTCCCTGTGTCCTGTCCCTCCATCCCTTGTCCCCAGTCCCTCTCCAGCTCTCCTGGAGCCCCTTCAGGCCCTGCAAGGGGCTCTGAGGTGTCCCTGGAGCTTCTCCTCTCCAGGGGAACATTCCCAGCTCTCCCAGCCTGGCTCCTGAGTTTTCTGCTTCCCATGGGATGGGTTGGCCAAAGTTGGTTCCAGCACTCTCAGGCCTCGGAGACCATAGAACCCAACCAACCCCAGCTCTGCCAATGCCAGCCCTGACCTTGTCCCCAAGTGCCACATCCACAGGGATGTCACATCCTAACAGGGATGGGGACTCCACCCCTGTCCCGGGCAGCTGGGCCAGGCCTGGACAGCCCATTCCAGGAGGGAATTTTCCCAATTTCCAACTGAGCCTCCCCTGGCCCAGCCTGAGGCCGTTCCCTCTCCTCCTGTCCCTGTTCCCTGGGAGCAGAGCCCGACCCCCCCCAGCTGTTCCCTCCTGGCAGGGACTTGTGCAGAGCCACAAGGGCCCCCTGAGCCTCCTTTGCTCCAGGCTGAGCCCCTTCCCATCTCCCTCAGGAATTCTCCAGCCCCTTCCCAGCTCCCTCAGGAATTCTCCAGCCCCTTCCCAGCTCCATTCCCTTCCCTGGACTCACTCCAGCCCCTCAATATCTTGGCTATGTGCACCCCAAACTGAACCAGTTCAGTTCTTAGACGTGAAAGCTCAGCTTTCCCAAGACTCAGTTATTCCTGAATAATTAAAAACTGCTCCTTCCACCTTCCCCTAACCCAATCCACCTGGAATTTTGGTGCCAGAGCCCTCGGTCGCACGCTGACCTTGTGTCACCTGTGTTCTCTTGCAGGACTCCCTGCTGTGTTTGTCACAGTGTGGGCCAGCGTCAGAGCCACTCTGGCCGACACAGAGTAAGTCCCACTGGGTTTCCTTCTCTCCCCTTCATGTGCGGAGTTTTGTGGGATTTCAGATTCAAAAGGAAAAAGAACCAGGCAAAGCTGGAATTCTACTCCGACGTCATTAACTTTCGGAGGAGGGTGGTGGATGGAAGGGAAGGATAATTTTTCCTTTCATTTCGCAGGATTCAGTAAATGGGAATACCTGTGGTGGTTATCCCTGGGGACAAAGGGATTGTCTGGAATCAATTTGGGACACAGCAGCTGCAGCACAGTCAGAGAAGTTTGGTGGTGCTGGGGTGGTAGAACTCCAACTCCTCCATGGATTTTACAATCCCAGAATGGTTTGGGTTAGGAGAGACCTTAAAGCCCATCCCATTCCACCCCCTGCCATGGGCAGGGACTCCTTCCACTATCCCAGGTTGCTCCAAGCCCCATCCAACCTGGCCTTTCCCCCAGAATTCCCAGGCTTGACCACACAAGCGCTTCCATTTTGCCAGGATCCTCCAGCAGAGGGTCCCCAGGCATTCCCAAATGGCTTTGCATGGGAAGACTCCACTTTCCAAGGGGGATTTCAGCTCCCGGCTTGGACAGGTGGATCAGCAGAGCTACTGAAGGGTGACATGTGTGTGACACCAGCCCATCCTCACAGTGGCTTCCAGGGAACACTGACGGCTTTCCCGCCTCGCTTTCCTGGAGGAGCTGGCCTGGGAAAACTGCAGCTGCCACATGGGGGTTACCTGGATCAGATAAGGAAAAGCCTGTGGCATTCCTGTCTCCAGAGCTGGAGAGAATTCCAGCAGAATATTTAACACTGAGCCAGCTTTTCCAAGGACTGCTGGAAACTCCTGGGAGCAAATAGAGCCCGCCCATTCTTGGCAGATGGAGGATTGGATCCAAATTTCCCAATATCTCAACATCCCAACATCCCAACTTCCCAATATCCAAACATCCCAATATCCCAACATCCCCAAACATCCCAATATCCCAACATCCAAACTTCCCAATATCCCAATATCCCAATATCCCAACCTCCCAATATCCCAAAATCCCAACATCCCAATATCCAAACATCCCAATATCCCAATATCCCAATATCCCAACCTCCCAATATCCCAACATCCCAATATCCCAACATCCCAACATCCCAACATCCCAACATCCCAACATCCCAACTTCCCAATATCCCAATATCCCAATATCCCAACCTCCCAATATCCCAACATCCCAATATCCCAACCTCCCAACATTCCAACATCCCAACTTCCCAATATCCCAATATCCCAATATCCCAATATCCCAACATCCCAACATCCCAACCTCCCAATATCCCAACATCCCAATATCCCAACTTCCCAACATCCCAACATCCCAACATCCCAACATCCCAACATCCCAATATCCCAATATCCACATCACCAACAGGCCCTTCCAGTCCTCACTGGGATAAGGACCGAAGGTGGATGGAGATAAAGATTTGGGGGGATTTGGCTGGGTCTCCCTGCCAGGGCAGCGTTGAAGGAAAACCGGGAAGCGAGTGTGGAATCCCAGCACTGTCCCCGTCACCGCGTGTCAGACACCACCTGTCCCCATGGGAAGCTGTGCAGGTGTATTCCAAGAGGAAATCATGGAATGGTTGGCTTGGAAAAGACCTTTCAAGGTCATCTAATCCAACCCCCTGCCATGAGCAGGGACAGATCCCGAGAGAGTCCTGCAGGGAAACTGGAGAGGGATTATCCAGCAGGAACTGGAGGGACAGGACACGGGGAGTGGAAATGGAAAATTCCCACTGCCAGAGGTCAAGGATAAATGGGATATTGGGAAAAATTCTTCCCTGAGAGGGTAGGGAGGCCCTGGCACTGTTCACGCAGAGAAGATGTGGCTGCCTCATCCTTGGAAGCGTCCAAGGCCAGGTTGGAAGGGGCTTGGAGCAACCTCTCTCCCATGGCAGGGATTTGGAATTAAACCATTCCAACCCCACTCATTCCAGGATCCTGTGATCCTACATCTCTCCTGTGTTCATGAAACCTGGATTACTTTTAATGTAGGGATTTTTTTCTGGCAAGGAAGCGAAAAAGTGGGAAAGGACCAGGTTTGGATGAGTGTGGAAAGATCTGGAAAGAGCTTCACCCTCTGGAGAGCAGAACCATCCTAATCTTAAAAATATTCTCATTTTTTAATAGCAAAACAGCAGGAAAAGGGACATCCCAAAGTTTCACTGAGTGCAGGTAGGGTTAGAGTAAGGTCCTTCCACCAGGCTTTGGAGGAACTCATCCTTCCAGGGGGATTTTTCCAAGGAAACTCTTGAGTCGCTGGCTCTTCCGATGCTTTCCTGACCTGATGTCCATCTCTCCTCAGGTGTTGGGACTTGAGTGCTGGCAATTTAAAGTGGATTATTCAGGTGCCCATCCTGGCAGCTATCGTGGTGAGTTTGGGAGGAGAGAGGGGCTGGCAGGACTTTGGGTCCTTGGGAAGGGCTGATCCAGGATTTCCCACTCTAATCACCCCATTATCAAAAATCCTGCCCTATAATGATCCCTCCGTGTCCCTTTCGAGGGGTTGATGTTTGTCCTGCCTGGAATTTTGGCAGCTGAATGTGGCAGAAGGGTTTGTGGGTGACTTCAAGGAGAGAAAAATCCCACATTTTTAGGGTTAAGACCCTAAAATCATTAATGAAAACAACATTCAAGGCGATATTTCCAACCCAGGTGATCCTGGAAAATCTCAGGGGTCATAGCGTGTTCTTACCAGGCATCTCTGGTTGGAAGAGATGGAATTTGGGGTCTGTAGCTGGACCAAAGCTTTTCCCAGGCATGTTCCAGGGTGATCCTGTTCTTTCTGAGCAGATAAAAGTTTGGGAATCCAGAGGTGGGAAGGGAAATGAAACCATCCCAGCTTTGACTGGGTCTTTAATCACTGAGGGCGGATTATTCCAACCCCCACCCAGGAGCCAGAGGGGAAAGAAAGGATCCAAGTGACATTATCCCAACACAGGAGGAGCTCTGCAAAGCTGGGGAGAGCATTAAAAGATTTAATTATCTGCACCAGATGAATCCAATTATGTCCCCATTAATGAATTCATTAATTACCCTCTTCCCCCTCTCTTTATTTGGGGTTCTCCATTGCTCAATCTCCTGATGGAATCCAGGTAAAAGAGCTCACGCACTCCCCCAAATCCCATCTCCCTTTCCACTCATCCACGAGCAGAGTCCGTAGGAATCTCTCCAGAGGCTTTGGAGTCAGGTTCTTCCTCCTGCCTCACAAATCAGGAGGCCTTGGAAGATGTTCAGTGAAGGTGAGAAGAACTCCAGACGCACAAAGAGCAGGAAATTTTCCGAGGTGGATGTGCTCATCTGTGCCATTAGGTGAAATTTTTGGGGTCTGGGGGCACTGCATTTCATCCTTTTGGTGGAAATTCTCCACCTGGCTCCAGCGATTCCTCGGAAGAGGCGCATCACCGAGACCACATCTTTGGAAATGGAACAGCGGAGGCTGGAGGAGAAAGTTCAGATGGCTCAATTAAATGAATTCCAGCAACCCCATCACATTCCATTTAAAGGCCAATTAGCAGAGAAGAAGGAGCCCAATTGAGGCTCATCCTTGGAAAAATAAGGTTTCTCTGGGAGGCTGTGCCTGTGCCCTGGCAATATGCAAATGCAGCTGTTTATTATGCAAAAATATTCTGCGGGTTGTGTCTGTTTGATTTCTGTGGGTTCGTATTGTTCGCTTGGCTGCTTCTGCCATTCCCACGTTGCTGGACTGAATCCTGCAATTTCTGGATGAGATTTTGGAGGCTGAGGGGTTTAAAAATCTCTCCATTTTATGCTAACTCGGATGTGATTCTTTTGTCTGGGTTTCTTTTCCAACTCAGCACGTTTGGGGAAACCAGAGGAGTTTCCCTCCTGGGTGTGATAAGGTTGGGCATCTTTAATTCTGCCGACAAATGCAGAACAAGATCCCGCTTTTGAGCCTTTAAAGCTGGAAAAGCTCCTGTAGAGAGATAAATCCTGCTTGGTTTTTCCCTTTCAGATGATTTCCAAGGAATTAAATGCCCCCAGGCTCTGCGCTTCCCTGCCTGTCTGTCTGTCCATTCCTCCCTTATAATCCCTGTGCCAGCCAGGAAATTTCAGCCAAATGGAACTCAGGGAATGGGGCTGCAGGGATGTAAAATTCCCACAAATCTCATGAAAATGGGGAAATGGATATGGGAGAGGATTTTCACTCATATCCCAGTGACAGAAAGGGTGTGGCACAACCTTCCCTGCTTTTTTTTTTTTGTGGAGAAGTTCCAAATGAGCTCCCACCTCCTTAAAAGAGAAGGAAAACCAGGAAAACCAGGAAAACCAGGAAAACCAGGAAAACCAGGCCCTTCATCAACTCAGGGTTTTGCCAGGCAGGATAATTGACCACGGGAACAACTCTCCAATGGTTGTGGTGGGATTTCTGTCATGGAAATGCTAGAACACGGATCTGCTCCAACCAAAATGAATCCAAGGAGGTCTCCTGGACTGCCCAACCTGAGGTTCACGATGGTCCCTCCCTAAAATTCCGAGCCTGTTTGTGGTGTGGTAATTCAGTGTCCTGAAATGCCGAAGGCTCCGGAGGAATCCGTAGGCATTATCCAACAACGTGGATCTGCTCCCTGCAGTTACAGGCCGGTTCTGCCTGTACCCTCTCCATAATCCCGTGGGTGGGTTTGGCTGGGCCAGCAGCTGCTGGAATCCAGGGAAACCAAGCCCTGAAGAGCTCTACAGAGACGGGAATCTCCCCAGTGTCAACCCATCTTTCCTCCCCATGAGGTGTCGCCATTAAATTTTCCTCAGTTCCTCATAGGACAAGATTGGAATCATGGAGGCACAAAGGCTAGAAATGTTCTCCCAGACCAAGTCCAACCATTCCCCAAGCACCACCATGGTCACCGCTTACTCTTGTCCTCAAGTGCCACATCCACCCAAGATTTCACCACTTCCTGGGGTGGGAATTCCACCACTTCCTGGGATGGGAACTCCACCACTTCCTGGGATAGGAATTCCACCACTTCCTGGGATGGGAACTCCACCACTTCCTGGGATGGGAACTCCACCACTTCCCAGGACAGTGATTCCACTTCTTCCTGGGGCAGCCTGTTCCAAGGTGCTCGGGCACCACTGGAATTCTCTTGAGCCTTTGACCACGAGTTGGGTTCACAGATGTGTCTCCCTGAAAAGC